CTGCATGTGTTTTGTGGTGAGGGTATGTGGGGGGGGGGGGGGGGAGTAGTTCTCTTGATTTTGTAGCTTTTTCCCCCGTAATATTTTACTGCCTAAAAAAAAATTTTTTTTCTTTTATTCTAGTAGATAAGGTACCGTGTTTACTTAGGTTTTGGGCAACACCTGGCAGCAATGCCCAGGGCTTCCTCCTGGCTCTGAGCTCAAGGATCAGATCCTTCCAGGAGGGACCAGAGAACCACAGGGGATGCCAGGGATTGAACCCGGTTGTACCACATGCAAGGCAAGCACCTCAGTCGCGGCCCTATCTCTCGGGTTCACAAGGTACCACCTTTAAATAGTGTTAACATTGTGGTCCCAATAGTGCTGTTGTCAAGATAGTTATTGCCCCTCACCACCACCAAGTGGCCAATAGCGCACACCACCATCCCAGTGTCACACCCAGTCCATTCCTTCAGTCCCCCCTTGCTGGTCATCTCAGCTTTGTGATCCCAGGCCAAGGTCTTGTCACCATTTTCATATTGCCTATGGCCATGCGCTGTCTCTCTGGTCCCCGGATCATCCTGTATGTGTCCTTCTCGGACTCACCCTCCCTCCATGCCGTCTCCTCTCCTGACATACTCACCTGTCCTCCCCCTATCACGAAGATGGGATGGCATCACAGGTGGACACGATCTTTTAGAATTAAAGGGCTTGTGTGAGGGAAAACCAGTGAGTCATATGCGAGTCGGACCTCAGTGCTGTAGCCAACCTTTCAGCACAGAAACCACTGCGCTCTTTCCCCGGCTGTGCCGTGCTGCTGGCACTGGCCACTGTGTGTGCACCCTCCCCCGCCCGTCTCCGTCCCAGACTGGGCCCTGACGTTGGTGCGTCCCGAGCCCCATTCCTTCCACACACTCGCATTGTGGGCCACAGGAGGCTTCAGGAGCAGCGGACCTCACGCAACCCCAAAGACCGCAGGTCCCCAGAATAGTACCAGGAGCATCCCGCATACCACCAGGTGAGGCCCAATATTAAGCCCCATAAACTAACTTCCAGATAGAAGAATAATGAAAAAATCTGTCATTATTATGGTCTCTAACCAAGGGACATCCCTAAGAATGGAGAACTCTAGAAATTCAGCATCACGGGGCTGACCCAGACTCAATCCTCAGCTCCGCCATGGTCCCACAAGTGCAGAGCCAGGAGAAAGCCCTGAACACAGCCAGCCCTTCCCAAGACTCAGCACGCAAGAGGAGAGAAGTAAAATCCCTAAGAAATGATTCTTAACAGTTTTCAAAACCTACATAGTATCAGGTACTGTTAAGAGAACATTCCAAGGGGAAAGTAAGGACCAGAGAGGGTTCAAAAGATGGGACTATAGGCTTTGTGTAAGGGGGAGCGCTGTGTTCAATCCCTGGCACCACGTGATCCCCAGAACTGCCAGGTGTAGCACAGCTGCCCCCAATCCCCACTCCCCCCCAAAAGCGGAACGGCCCTGCCCCCCCACAAGTAACAGCACGGGAGCAACAAGAGGGAGGAAGTGACAGGGGTCTGTCTCCATCCCCTGTTCTGCTGGAGCCCTTGGGAAGAAAGACCCGTGTGCCCTGGAACATTCCCTAGGGAGCAAGGGAGCGGGCATCATCAAGGGGGGCCCTGGGTAGAGCCTCCCGAGATGCGGTTGGCAGCCCAGGCCCCCTCAGCCCCCAGAAATAAGGAGTTCTCTCCTCACCCTGCCTGGATTTCAGGAACCTGAAGTTACAAATATTGTTTCTGAAAGCTTTTTTGTCCAATTATCAAGTATCTAAATTTTTCAAAGCTACATTGACTGGTAGGACAGGTAACCAAAAGACTCTGCAATCCTCTGTGGGAATGGTTTAAAATCGCCACAGGGCTGAGGCCGGAGACACATAAAGGTACAGATAACCGCATGCTCTCCGCCTCCAGTTCTGGCAGACTGAGACTCGTCTCCGGCCAAGGCGAGTCCAGTAAGCCCAGGGCCCGCTTACAGGCAAGAGCCAGGAGGACCCCACGGACGGCAAGGCGTGGTGGGCCGAGCAAACACAAGGGCCGGAGGGACAGGACAGCACAGAGGCCGACCAGGTCGTGGCTGACTGGGTTCGATCCCCAGCAACTCCAGGAGTAACCCGAGCACCGCCAGGCCGGGCCCCCAACCCGCCACCCCTCCCCCCACTTCATAAATTTGCTTCTCCACTGTGGGAAGACAGCAATTACTGAACAAACTACAGCACGCCCTGCCACCAGGAGCCACGGGGCTTAAACGCATCCTTGTCCCCTGGGCCCACTCTCCAGACCCTACACTGCTTAAGGAGAAACTCAGGCCTGGACTCCGAGCTTCCGAGGGAGGAACACCGAGTCCTCTCAGCGCGCCCTGTGGGCTGACACTTGCTCTCCAGTATTCTCTCCCTTGTCTCTCGGCATATGCATACAAGTTAACAATTTGGGTTTGGTCTGGGGGCCACAACCGGCAGTTCTCGCTCTGCACTCAGGTGGGGTTCTGGGGTGGCAGGGATCGAACTCCAGCTGGCCGCTGTACACTCAGCCTGCTCTAAGTACATGATTACTGGACATTCGAGGGTCAGAGGCGTCTGACGGGCTGCGGCCCAAGCTTTGCATGTGGGACACCTCCCAGCACCACAGAACCCCCCAGAGCAATTCCAGGTGTGGCCCAAAAATGTACATTGGGCCGGAGCAATAGCACAGTGCCCACAGCTGACCTGGGTTCGATCCACAGCACCCTATACGGTTCCCTGCGCACAGCCAGAGGTAAATTCCTGAATGTAGAGCCATGAGTAAACCAAGCACTGCCAGGTGTGACCCCAAAACCAAAATAAATAAATCAAATTTTTTCAACAAAAAATAACCCTCCACATAAAATTGAGCTGTGTTTTTTCAATGTTATACATTACATTTTGTCAACCGTTCCTCTAATCTCACTGCCAAAAATGAAGATTACCTCCTCCCCCAGCCTATGTTCTCTGATCAAACTGAACTCCCTGGTTCATCAGGTCTTCGACTACTGCATCAATGATGGAAGCATGAAATCAGAACTTGCAACAAAAGAGGGTTAAAAAAAATTCAAAACAAGGGACAGAGACCAAAGCAGGGAGGGCACTTGCCTTGCAAGTGACAATACAGGTTTGATCCCTGAGCACAGAGTCAGAAGTAAGGCCTGAGCACCACCGGGTGTGGCCAAAAAAAAAGGGAAAAAGAAACTCTGTAAAACATGGGGCCAGAGAGATAATATAGCAGGTAAGGCACTGGCCTTGCATGTCCAGCCCACTGAGCGCCAATCCCCAATCCAGGAGTGACCCCTGGACACCACTGGGTGTGGTTGCCCCCCCAAATTCTAAAACGCTATGCTCAATACGTTGCTAGACTTATGCTAACTAGGGGTTTCAAAATAATACAATAGGCCATATGGCCAAGCCCAGCTAATATAACTATCTATTACCAACCCACTAATGCTAAAAGCCAGTCTGTAGGCAGTTAAGAATTTAATCCAATTCAGAGACCAGCGTGAGCCAAATCTTTGGGCAGAGAAAAAACAATCCAATGAAGCATCTCTAATAAACACTGCTACCGCACATCTGAAATAGAACGCGAATCCACTCAGTTATCAGCTGAAAGTCAATTAACAGTAGTAGCTTGAGAGGGGATCGGAGCCCCTTTCCCGATGCCATTTGCAGAAATAACCCTTGCGATAAGCCTACTTTGCAGGAAAGTCAAGCTGACAAACAGAGCTTTGAGAAATCAAATTTCTCATAAAATCTGTCCATTTCTCAGGACTGCCCAGGGACCCAGAGGCCGGGACCAAAACAAATATCCACGGGCCGGGGCACCTCCTCGGGCAACCTGGGGCTGCCCAGGTTGGGATCATCGGAGAGGGGGCTCGAATGGAGCGGGTGCCCGCTCTGCCTGGCGCCATCCCACCACCTCGCTGCCCACTAGCTGCCCACCCGCATCTGGGGGCGCGATTCCAGGCAGGGCCCCGAGCACTGCCGGGTGTGGCCCAGAATCAAAAACCAAACAGAATCTGGGCTAGCTCACTGTACGGCTCCGTCTCCGGAACGGAACAACACGGCAGAGAAAAGCCTGAGCGCCGACTCGGCCCCGGGAGGGTCCGCCGGGAGGGTCAGCCCAGGAGACAGCGGGCAGGCAGCGAGGGCGCGGGCGTCTTGCCCCTGCTGAGTCGGGAGGGCCGGGGCCGCACGTCCGGGGAGGGGGGGGGGCTACACGTCCAGTGGGGGCTACACGTCCACGGGGGCCGCACGTCCACGGGCCCGACGTCCGCGGGGCCTGCGTGTCCATGCGGGGGCCGCACGTCCCCGGGGCCTATGTGTCCAAGGGGGCTGCACGTCCGCAGACGGTGGCAGCAGGGCGGCCCCGCGGCTCCCGCCCCGGCAGGAAACGTTACCGGCGGGCGCGCGGGCCGAGCGGGGCGGGGGTCGGCCGGCCCAGGCGGGGAGTCGGGGTCGGGTCCACGCCGGGGGTCGGCGGGCCCGGGCGGGGGTCGGGATCGGCGAGCCCGGGCGGGGGTCGGGGCTCCAGTGGGGGTGGGGGTCCGCGGGCTCGGGCGGGGGTCGGGGGTCGGCGGGCCCGGCGGGGCGGGGGTCGGCAGGCCCGGGCGCGGATCGGGGTCGGGGATCGACAGGCCCGGGCGGGGCGGGGGTCTGGGTCGGCGTCGGGGGGCGGGGGTCGGCGGGCCCGGGCGGGGTTCGGGGTCCGGGGTCGGCGGCCCGGGCTGGGCGGGGGCCGGCGGGGGTCGGGGCAGCGGGGCGGGGGCGGCGCGTGCCCGCGCGGCGGGGGGCGCGGGGGGCGCGGGACAAAGGCTTCGCGCGCGCCATCTTGGGGCGGCCGGCCGCGCGGCCATTCATCGGAGCGGGCCGGGCCGGAACCGGGACCGCGGCGGGCCCGCGCCCCGCCCGCTCGCCCGCTCGCCCGCCCGCCGGCCCGCCCGCCCCGGCCCGCGCCCGCCCGCCCGCCGCGGCCCGCGCCCTCACCTGGCGCCGCGTCCCGGCCGGCCCGGCGTCGGGCGTGCGGCGAGTCGCTCGGGCCCGCGCGGCCGCTGTCTCCCGGCCGTGCGCTGCGCCGCCGCCTCAGTCCGCCCCTCAGACGCCTCCAGCCATCGGGATGGGCGCGGCGGCCCCTGCCCGCAGCTCGGGAAACCCCGCGGCCGCGTCACCGCGCAAGGCGCGCGCGCGCCCGCCGCCCGCGCGCGCCCGCCCCGCCCCGCGCGCGCGCCGCTTAAAGGGGCCGCGGCCGGAGCCCGGGCCGCGCCGCGCCGCGACCCTGCCCGCACGTGCTGCTGCCGCGCTCGGGGCCGGCGGTGCGCCCGGGGTGAGCTGGACAGGCCCCCAGAAACCTCCAGAATGTTCCTCGAGGGCAGGAGGGCCAGCTCCGGAGGGACAGGCTCGGTATTCACGGCGGCCCTTATCTCATCTGACAAGCCCCGTGCTGTGACCCCTGGCCGGGAATCGCACCCCTCCTCGCTTCCCCGCCCCTCCAGCCCCTCCAGCCCCTGGTCCTCCCGTCGCCGGTCTCTCAGGGGAGGGTCAGCAGCCTCTCAGGGGAGGGTCAGCAGCGGGCGGCCAGAGACCCCCCTTGGCCTCTGTCCTACCGCGCTGACTCCTCGTCCCTCTGGGCCAACAGGCCTCCCAAGCCCAGGTCCAGTGGCCCCCCCACTCTGGGCAGCGCTGCTTCCTAATCATAGGCCACTGCGTTCCACCCTGGGGTTCCCCCCCTCCCCGCAGGACATCTCCCAGGCACACCGCCCCTCCCCTGCACTTTCCCAGCACTCACAGCTCCCCCTGCCCACCAGCCCCAAGGACCAGAAGGACACCGGGGGGGGCCTGGGGAGCACATGCTTGGGAGTGCTCTGAGTCCTGGTCTCGTGGACCAGGAGAGGACCAGGGGCTGGGCAGGAGGGCTGCAGTGTGTGGGAGGGGCAGGAGCCCATGGCTGCAGTGTGGGGGTGGGGGGAGGGAGCCAAGGGCTGCAGCGCAGGGGAGGGCAGGAGCAGACTGGGCTGTAGCGTCAGGTGGGGGTCTCCCCCTGAGGTGGCCCCCCTGGTGAGGCCCGTCCCGGCCTGTGACAGCACCCGCAGTGCCATCCTGGCAGTGCCACCCTGGCCCCAGCAAGGCGGCAGGGCCTTCTGCGGAATTTGCCCTCGTTTATGCGTTTACAGGCAGGGTGTGGGGGGGCAAAGGAGCAGGGCAGGAAGGGGAAGGGGCAGGTTCTCGCTCTGGGTGGCCTGGCCTGGGGTCACTGGGTCCAGCTTGCGGGCTCCAACTGGGCTCCCCGGGGTGCCTCTGAGGCAAGTCTGCGCCCTGCCTTAGGCCCTCTGCGGGGAGCAGTGCTTGTGTGATTTCTGGGGATGCTCCCTCCACCCCCTGCAGGCGCCTGGGCCCTCTGACCAGGGAGCCCCTGAATTATTCAAATCCGCGCACAGCAGCAGAGCTGCATTTCAGGCTTTGAAGGACCCGGCACCCCCAGGCCAGCCTGGAGGGGCCTCCTGAGCCGGCAGGCAGGAGGCCTGGGTCTGGCTTGGGGCCCAGCTGGAGCCAGTATCCAGGTCTGGCCCTGCCAAGACTGTGCCCAGCCCCCTCCCAGGCAGCTGTGGCCAAATGTAGGTGATCCGGAAGGCGGCTAATTAGTCCTGGGCTTCCTGGGCCACGCCGGGAAGAACCGGGCCAGGAGCTCTAGGGGTCCGCCCCTCCTTCCTTCTCCGGCAGCCACCAGTGCACCCTGAGGACCAGAACGGTGCAGTCCCAGCTGTGGCCACTGCAGGACCAGGGGTTGGTGGGTGAACTGGTGGGAAGGTGGCTTGAAGCCAGCCAGAGCCCGTCCTTAGCCAACCCCACCAGCCCTGACCTCTGGCCAGTCACCTGCGGTTGGACCCAGACACCATCGGGGCAGAGAGCGGGGAGGTCCCATGTGAAGGGGGATGCACCCCTGGCAGGCAGCTAAGCAAGGAACCCTGGGGCCAGACCTCCCGTGGGGTAAAGGCATTAAGGAGCCCCAGAAAGGCAAAACCAAACCTTAAGGAGGTGTCAGACGGGGTGATGGGGAGGAGTGATCACAGGCACTGACTTAGCTCTGGATAAGGTCCCTGCCTGAGCAGAGGGCACAGTGAGGGCAGCTCTGCCTCTGGGGGGTGGTTGGTTTGCTTGTTTGAGGGCCACACAACCAGCGGTGCTCAGGGCTGACTCCTGGCTCTGCACTCGGGTCACTCAGGACACGGCGGGGCTCGGGGGACCTTATGGGTGCCAGGGGCCAAACCCGGGCAGATGCCTCCCCGCTGTGCAGTCTCCCTGGCCCCACTTGCTGCCCCTTTTGTGCCTCTCTTGGAGATGGGGTATTAACTAGCCTCCACAGACCCCAGGGACCCCATCTTTGTCTCTCTGCGGGAGGGGGGTGGCACGCCTGCTGTGGGCACATCACTTCCCCGTGATGCTTGGGGACCCCTGCATGGCGGAAATATAACTGGGGTCAGCGTCTTCATAATGCCATCCTATCTCTCTGCGCAAGGCCCATTATTTCCTAATAAAGCTGGACAAAGCCGGCCGGAGGCTGCAGCCAGTCCCCACCTCCACAGGGGCCAAAGCCTGGGCAGCTGGACCCGAGCTGGGGAAGGGCTCCCTGGGGGACCCAATGCTGGGGCAGAGGCCGATACAGTCCCTAGGGCTCAGCTCAGGTGCCCTGTTGCAAAGCTGAAGCAAGAATGGGCCGAGAAATCCACTGAGGAGAAAGGGAGCGAGGTTCTGTCTGCAGGACAGCCCCGGATGGGGGACAGGCAGCCGGATGTGGGGCCCAGCCCGACTGGACAGACAGACCCCCCAGCCTGAGCGCCTGCCAGAGCCCTCAGCCGCCGCCCATTTCCTGGCCGCCCTGGGCGGCTCCCTGGCTCCCAGGCCCCAATTGTTCTCCTGCAGCCTGGCGGGACCCCCAGAAGCTTCAGGCTTCAGGCCAGCTGTCTGGTGCAGGGCAGTGCGGGGCTGGAGAGCTGCAGTGACTGAGATGGAGAAAGGCCAAGAGTACCCCAAACCCCACCCACTCACAGGCGATAGGGCCCAGTGGCCGCCAAGGGGGTCTGAGCCCCAGCCCACCCACCGGCACTTCATTCTGGCCTGCCTGCTGGGCCTCTGCCCTCAGCTGCCACTGGCCCCAGGGGCCTTGGGGCCACAGCTTTGTGGCACAGGCTCCTGCGGGGATGCAGTTCTGTGGGGAATCAGGTTCTGCTGCGTAAACAGCACCTGGAGTCTGCGGGGGATGGGCAGGAGTCGCCCCTAGCCCTGACTGCGCGCTGCCTGGTGCTGCCCTTTCTCCTAGAAGCTGCCTGAGCTGGTTGGGCCTTTGCCAGAGGCGGTGGGCAGCAGGGTGGCAGAAGGCCCCAAGCCCTCAGCCACCCCACCCTGGCTGCCGCTCCCACTCTGGTCAGCACCCGCTGAGCCCTCCCGGGCCCCGGCTCTCCGGGCTGCTGCCTTGGGCACCCTGGCCAGTCTAGGCAGCCACAAAATTGTCCACTAATGCCTATGAGGGCTCAGACCCGTGGCACGTTAGCAGGGCCGTTGATAGTCCCCCCATGTGTGGCCCCTGTGCAGGTCTGGGGGCCTGGCAGCTCCAGCCTTCTGAGCACCCTCGTGGCCACACCTGGGGATACCAGGGGCTCGAGGGTCCATGCCCACGGTGTGGGGCTCCAGCCCAGGTGGACACATTCACTGCTGTGCCATCCGCAATCCAGCTGCAAGAGTTTTCATGTTTTGTCTTCTGGGCCATGGGTGGTAGTCAGGATTCACTCTAGGCAGGCTGGGGGCGGGGGGGGGGGGGGGGGGGGGGCCATAAGAGATGCTGGGGGTCAAACTGGAGTCGACCACACGCAAGACCAGCACCTGCCTACAGCACTGTCGCGCCTGCAAGTTGACTTTGGACACAGGCTTTCGAGTTCTGAGGGTATTGAGGGTCTTTCCCCTGGCTATGTGGCCCTGGCCCAGCCCAGCAGGGGCGCTTCGGGGACGTGTGGGCGCGGCCCCTCTGCCTGCTGCCCTGGCTGTGGCTGATGAGGTCTGGATGCCAGTGCAGGGTCCCCGTGGAGTGCCCTCCGAGGCTCCGCTGGCCTCCTCCGGTGTCCTTCAGGCTCTGCCCCCTCCTTCTGAGGCTGGAGTGGGGGGGGGGACCTGCTGCCTCCTCACCTTGCCCCAGTCTCCAGTGCCGTCCCCCGCCCGTCCCCTCCATCCCTGTGGGTCCGTGGCTGCCCCAGGTGGGTGCCCTGAGCAGTAGGGCCGAACAGCTGTCCTGCAGCCCAGCACCGGGGAGGGGTGGAGTGATGGCCCCTGGCTGAAGCTCATAGCTGGGGGGAGGGGGACAGCTGTGGAAGGACATCAGGGGTTGAGAGCCTGTCCACCTGCAGCAGGAGGTGGGAGGCTGAGAAAGGGGCGGGATCCCGGGAGGCACCTGACACTGAGTGGGGGGCACAACAGCACCCCCAGGAAATGGACTTGGACCTTCCTGTGCTCGGCCCCCAGTAGCCGCTCCTGGGGGTCGTGCTGGTTAGAGGTGAGTCCGGATCCCCGACCCCCTCCCCGCTGCCACACTCCTTTGTCCAGCCCCTCCGCTGAGTCCCGGGGGCTGAGGCTGCCCGGTCCCGCAGGGCCCCTGGGAGCGGCTGTTTTGGAAACCCGCCCCGGAGCCGGCGCGGCGGTCCCGGTGACGCGCGCCTGGGAGCGGCGGGCGCAGCCTGCGGTCCCCGGGGCGCCGCCAGAGTCCCGGCGGGCCGCCCGGCCCCGCGCCGCCGCCGCGCTCCTCGGCCTCGGGGGACTCGAGGGTCTCGGGGGGTACCCCCCGGGCCTGGAGCTGGGGCACCGCCCGGCTCCTGCGCCCCGGGCCGTGCTAGCGCCGCCTGCTGGACAGCGCCAGGAGACGCCCAGGGCGCTTCCGGGGCCGGGCGCTGGAGAGGGCGGGGCGTAACGCTGGAGAGGGGCGGGGCCGAGCGCTGGGACGGGCGTAATGCTGGAGAGGTGTGGGGCGGGGCCTCGAGCTGGAGAGGGGCGGGGCCGAGTGCTGGAGCTGGTCCTCAACCCTGCGGGCGGCGCCTGACTTTGGGGCGGGGCAGGAGCTCTCTGGAATGGCCACGAAGGTCTATTGCGAGACAAGACCCCTTGTTTCCGTGTGTTG